TAGTTCAATTTTGGACCTTACCGACGTTGCTATGGCGCTAGGAGTGATATTATTGGGTTGTCCTCTTAAAATATCACTCTTTGTGGAAATACTGGAGTAAACATGAATGTCAACTCTCTGTAGTTTTGAACATTCTGGGATGCTGCTAAAGATTTACCCAAATAAAGTAGCCATTTTATCTAACAAACCTTTAAAGACCCCCGGATAAGAATAGTGTTAAAATTTCTCAAGTATCTATTTTGTAGGAGATAATGTCTTCGAAATTATTTCCCATCTCCTTAAACAAAATACAATAATAATAAAAATCATATTTTTTCTCATTCTTTTTTTTTTTTGTAACTTAAAGAATCAAAGTATTGACAGTGACGTGTCACTTTTTGTTGTTGCTATAAAGATAGATGCCTGTTAAATGCATTGCATGGCATGCATATTTATAACGCTTTTTAGAACAGACGGATGGACAGACAGACACTTATACCGAGTGAGTAGTAGATGTTGCAGTCAGTCAGTCAATCTTACACTCTTGTTTCCCCTGTTCCGTGTATTTTGCATCATATACATATATAAATTTTAGCGTCTGGATAATTTGGTTTTTGTAAAATGAGAATTGTTCTTTTAGTTTTTTGCTGCCACAATCTTGATGATCATCCGATATGATCTTTATAAATATTTGGTTTTTTGTATATTTTTGTGCGCTACACCGTTTCTGTGCATTTTTGCTAATGCCACAGCAGTTGTTATTTTATTGTGTTTTCTTTTTAAATATTTGTTTAAGATGTTGTAATAACAACATTTAGTGTCGTTCCCGTTGCTATTAATGCGCCACTAGAGTGCTGTTGTCATTTTGCTCGAGCATACATTCTTTATGCATATTTTCATAAGGCAGCTAAGTAAACCACTCAAGTAGGACATCATCGAGAAAACAAAACAGCCTCAACCACCAACTAAATATCAGCAGCATCATCTTCCATCCATCCGTCTGTGTGTCCATTTGTTGTTAGTGGTTTTTGTGTTGAAGTATTCATTTGCTTAGAGCCGGACGTGTCATCGTTGGCGCCAGCGTTTTGTTTTTAGGAAAATTGGGCTAACAGTTGCTTTGTCTTGTGTTTTTATTAGAAAACGTAAATTCTATTGCTATATTCTTGTTGTTGTTGCTGTTTTTGTTTTATTTGACTTCTTGTTGTTTTTTGGTTGGCTAGTTGGTGTTTGCGGTTGATCTTGCAACATGTTTACACAGAAATTGATATTTTGTGTGTACAGTAGTTTTCCGATTTAACGAACCCATATGTTGTCAGGCCTGTTCGTAAAATTGAAAAGTTCGGTATATGCAGTACTAACTAAAACGTGGGTTTTTGGTAGGAAAATAATTAAAAATAAGTACATAAAATATTTTTTAAATGTATTTTATAAAAATTAATTCTTTTTTTTTATAAAAATAGCACAAAACACAAAATTCCGAATCTTATATACCCACCTTCAAACCATATTTGTGTCGAATTTAATCGCTGTATTTTTAATTCAGTCGTGAGCTTCAAAGTTATTTCTCGAAGTTCATCGCTATACTCGTATTTTTAAGCGAGTAATGAGCGTTGAAGTAATTTTCTTAAGGGGGCCTGATATGGAGGGTAAGGTCAATTATGGACCGATTCCCATAAAATTTGTTAGAGATTTCGGTTAGTATAGAACATGTTTGTATCGAATTTCATCGGCGTACTCGTATTGTTAAGCGAGTATTGAGCGTTAAAGTCATTATCTGAAGGACGGACGGACATAGCTACATCGAACTAAAATTTAATAAGAACTCAGAATGTGTTACAGTTTTGGGTATAAAAGCACCGCTTAAAACAACGGTATAGTTTTTTGCTACAACTTAGGTTATTTGTTATTTTTGATAAATGTCATTTTATCTTCATTTAAATAATAATATTTTTATTAGTTCGTTAAACAGAGTACAAAAAACAAGTTTTGTTCGTTATTTAAGGTAGTCAGTAGGAAAAATTAGCTTGTTCGTTAAATGCGATGTTCGTAGAATTGAATGGTCGTTAAATCGGAAAACTACTGTATTTTGAAAATAAACACTAAAAATAACAAGTATACGACCCTAAATATCCGTATCCATGTAGATGGCGCCTAATGTTTAATGTTTAAGTAAATTTTGCAAATGCCTAAGAGTGGAAATAAAATATGTATGTACTTTAAAAAGAGTTCCGAGAATATCTTTGAAACCTTGAAATACATTACCTGGTATATATTATATTGTAATTTGTGGTAATTTTAAGTTAATCCAACTTATAAGGGCTTTGAATCGAAATCTAAAAATCCATTTTAAAATTAATGTTTGATCTTCTCTAGTCAGAGTTTTACTTCAGTAAACTAATTTTAACTGAACCAGGGAAGTTTTGACTTTGATCTTATTTGTTAAAAATCTTGTTAGCAAAAATTTAAAGAAAATAAATTATATAAAAAAAGTTAACGGGCTCAACCGGGATTTGAACCCGGGACCCCTCGCACCCAAAGCGAGAATCATACCCCTAGACCATTGAGCCAACTGATAATCTGCCAGAAATAAACCTCATTTCAAGGCCAGCTATACATATAACATAAATTTTAAAGAAATTTTATAAAAAATTATTTCAAATATTTTATAAAATAATTTAATTTGAAAAAAAATATATTAAAAAAAATCAACGGGCTCAACCGGGATTTGAACCCGGGACCTCTCGCACCCAAAGCGAGAATCATACCCCTAGACCATTGAGCCAGCTGTTAACCCTTTTTTTATAAAATGGCATGAAATTGTGAAATTGAGTTTTTGAATTTAAAAGTAATTTTAGGTTTGAAGTTTTCACATGGGGATGTAGCTCAGATGGTAGAGCGCTCGCTTAGCATGTGAGAGGTACGGGGATCGATGCCCCGCATCTCCAGAAATCTGTTTTTTTTATTTTTTTCATAACAAATTAGTAAGTGTTTATAAAAGTTATGGAGTAAAATATTCCAGATATCCAATCACACTAAAAAGACTGTTAAGAGAAAAAATATGTTAGCGATGATGTATTTTTGAACCTTTTGGGCCCGACAAACAAATTAACGTTTACAATGATCATTGTAAACGTTAATTTGTTATTTAAAGTCCTCAGCGTGGACTATTTTAAAACCCTCAAATGAAACCTTTTCTAGATCAATTTAAGAACAGTTATCAAAATTAATATGAAACAGTTTTAAGACTTGAATTTAAAGTTTAAATTGGTTAATAAGTTATTAAAATGTATAGTTTAAGTCCAGCGATTCTGGACTTTCAAAGATTGTTGGTCAAACTTAATAGTAAATAGAGTTAAGACTGGAGTTTGTATTTCTTAGATTAAACCTTTTACTGAACTGCATATTAGCTAACATTAGACAATACGAAAAGCTGCGACTAAATCTAATATTATGTTCCCACGGCAGCCCTGTATGCTGTTTACACGACACCTACCATTTGGATTTGATTTATTATTTATTCTAAAATTGAGAATGTTAAAAAATCACCACTATTTATAGATAAATGATTCAAAAATTAACCTAAAATGTCAAATGAGAGTTTTTTCTTGATTTTGGAAAATTCTCTTGTCTTTAAGTAAGAAATCGATTAGGCTTCTCACGGGTATAATTACTGGTCTCTGTATGGACTACCCACGTTATAGCTACTGTAGAAGTTATAGCTACATGTAGAAGTTGTTTGGACGAAGAAAAAGAGAAATCGGTACAACACCTTCTATGTGACTGTTCAGCCTTACAAGAGCATAGACTACTCTATCTTGGTAAAGCCTTTTTCCATGATCTAAATTGTGTCAAAGATGTGTAAATATGATCGCTTTTATTAGCAATACCGGCTGGTTCTCACGTGAACCGCAGGATCTATATAGTCAACGATATTAGGGAGGGATACCAAACTCTAAACATAAGTGAATGGTAATTCTAAGGGTATCACAAGGCCTCCCAGTGAAATCGCTGATTGGCGAGTAACCCACGAAACCGGATCTGCTGACTATTCTGCGATACTGATACAAATCAGCTTATATGTAGCAAAGACTTTTATTAAACGCTTGCTTTAGTTTCAGCTGAAAGTGAGGTTACGTCTTACGACGGGGTGAGATCTTAAAATGGTGAAGACCTTCTAAATTTAAACTTTTTACTGATAGAGATCCAATAAACAGTTATTTTTAATATATAAAGATATAAACCGTTAGATATTTTATATTACAATGATTTGTTGTTAATTCAATTTGAATTAAAGAAATTCACTCGAAAAGTTTTGTGTGACAATTCAATTCGTAATTGGGGTTAATTTACGAAAAATAATTTGAATTACAAATTATGTTGGCGTGTAAACATAGTATAACCTTTTTTCAATATCCCGCTAATTTCTCATTCAAATTTCTTAAATAAAAACTCAGATTTTTTTGATTTATTTTTAGTTGTTTTTATATTTTTTTATATATATTTTTCTTTAACTCATTTTTATTATTATAATTATTATTATTAATTGTATTGCATTCTAATAATAAGCTCTCTATTTACTAAATATATTGTAATATTATATAATCTTACAAACTATTTACAATCATACACTCAAAAAAATTATATTGTATGTTAAGGTTATAAATGAAAACTAAAGAAAATCTAAATTGATGACATTTCAAAAATCCAAAAAATTTTGAAAGATCTATAAAGAGTGCATTTTAGGGAGGAATATTAAAAAATAATTTATAGACAAAAATATTTTTTTTTTTTTTTTAATAATTTTATTTATTTAGAATAAAGTGCTTTAAGGAGTTATAAAACTAAAGCAAAATAATATTTGAAAAAAAAAACGCAAAAATAATGTACAAAATTTACTTAAATTTAGGATTTTTATATAAAATATATATAAAAAAAATTTTAAATATTATGTATAATAATTATTTTTTAAAATATAAAGAATATTTTTTAAATTAACCTAAACACAATTAAAACTACAGGCGTTGAACGAAGTCAGGAGTTTTATAAAAAACTTAAATTAATTTCTCTATAATTTCAAAACTATTATCTTGGAAATTGAAAAATATTCTATAAATAAATTTTAGGAATTTTTTGAAAAAATTTACACCTGTAGTTTGTTTGCGCTTAAATTTTTATAAAACTTAAAATGTTTTAACTAATTTTTTTGCCGAGTGTTTTCGTTTTTTTTTATTAAAGTTTTAATTTTTTGATATTTTCTTTATCTAACAATGATTGCTTTAAATCTTTTTTTCAATGTTTTTGTTTTATAATAATTAAATTCTTAATAAAGAAAATATTACGTTTTCAGGATTAAGGGTTTGTTTCTCTCTTGTCTAACGACCTTTCTCACTCTTGCACGAACTGTACACTAAAACCTCTAGGGATTTATTATCATTTCACTGTACTCTTGCACGATATCATGTTATTTCGGTGGCACTATGACTAATATCAGGCGATGTTGAAAAAGGTCGATGTAGCAATTGTGCGTTATGATGATAACTGGTTGTAGTAGAGGTGGCCGAGGGACTGCTGGAGTGTTCCTGTATGGTTGAGGGAGGTGCAGGGTGATTGTGATGATGATGATGGTGGTGATGGGCCAGATGTGGATGAGCTACCGCGGTTAGTGTAGCCGCTATTGAATTGGCTGCTGAATTAAGTTTTTCGGGTGAATTGACGCGTATTTTTGGTGGTTGTCCCGCTGCGGTTGCTGCTTGTGTTGAACAATCTACCGCATAGGCGGTAGAGGCATAATTCGGATGTAAATGATTGCCATTAAGGCTGGCCAAAGCTTGCGGCAGTTGAGGATGTGGTCTTATAACCATGGGTTGTATGGGAAACTGTTGGGTCATTTCTTTGAAATTGGCAAAACTTTGCAAATAACCCGCACTAAAGAGACTCGTTGCTGCTGCGTCTAATTTAAAGGCGGGCAAGCAGGTTGGTGGCAATGCCGATGTTGGATATGCAGGTATACTGGTTGATGACAAGGAGGAAGAGAGATCTCGCGGCTTATCATCGTCCACGCTTAAACTCTCATCACGATCGTTGGCTCCATTCGAGGTGGAACCGGGACTGTGTTGTAAATGCAAGCTACTGGGTACAGGCGAATGGGTACCCAGCGATATGTCCGAATCTGAGGTGTCGGAGGGTGTAGGAGAGGGAGCACCATCGGGTCGTCTACGTCCCATGCCAGAGTTTTGATTGTGTTGTAATCTAAAAGTAAAGGAAGGAAAGATTTTTGGATTATTTTAAGATTATGTAAAGATAAAATATATATAAAGTTACAGTTGAAGCTAAAATGGACCTTATTTTGATCAAAAAGTGTCGACAATTAACCATTTGTAGACTGGTGCACAGCGTGTTCTATAAATCGACTTTTGATCAACCAAATTTTTTTCAGAAAAAAGTTTAAAAGTCGTAGTCTTTTATTTTGCCCTAACTAAGTGACCCCTCGGGGCATGTTATCTTGAGGAACCGACCTAACCTTGGTGTTATTGCAATCCATGAGCTAGTAAATAGTACCTCTAGTCTGCCAGTACTAGAAACTGAAAAGTAATTTGACTTGCGTTCTAACCAGGGAACCACTAGTTGACCTCGGCACATTTCTAGGACTTTTTTAAGTTTTGGTTATGGGAGGGCTGGTGGAACCTAACCTATCTGGAACCACCAGTTGCCCACCGGACATTGTCTAGGACATTTTTAGTTTTGGTTATTGAAGGGCTCCCTTCCGGGAACATGTGGTGGTTGTGGAACCTAACCAATCTGACATCACCATTTGCCCGCCGGAGACTGTCTAGGATTTTGTATAGTTTTGATTTTCGGAGAGGTCCCTTCCGGAAACATGCGATGAAACATGTTGGTGAAATACATATTTTTGAATTAGTTTTCGGGTTTATTGCTGACTCAACCGGCTGCTTCATAGGAGTGATATGTTGCGAATGAGTCACAATAACAGATTGCATAGGGATTCAATTGCTTGCGGTTGGTTCCCTTCTTTATCCGGGTATGTTTTAGTTTGTTCTACCTCTACGTGTCCCGTGTGTGTGTGTGTAACTAAGCAACCTAGCAGTTCGGCAGAACAGTCTCGAACTAACCTCTTAATCTACCACTTATGGTGACCCCTAGCCACGAGGAAGTCAATCGTCACCCCACAGATTACAAGGAGACAGACAAAAAGTTGAAGTTTGTTTTTCAAGTGTCCACTCTCTCGCTTGCAGAGGGGAGCGACGATTATCTTCAGCCTCGTTTGCAAAGAGTACGTTCGTGACGAAAGACGAATTAGAGCCAACCAGGTGATTAGATGTTAGTGGAAATCACTGTCTTTTTCGGATGCATTGACTCTTAGTCGAACTGCTGGGAATGTCTTGTCTTGTCTCGAGGCATACAATTTGTCGGGAATTTTGAGTCCCAGATAGAAAATCATGTTTAAGCGGAATCTTAACTTAACTTAAATCTTAACTTTTCGAAAAAACGGGCATAAGGTTCTACACAGAGAATCCATAAACAGATGTATACTACGGTCTACTTAATCACAACAAATCCATATAATAACGAAATGTGTAACGGTCCTAGTGGTTCTACACAGAGAACCCATAAACAGAAGTATACTACGGTCTACTTAATCACAAAAAGTCCGTGTAATAAGGGAATGTATAAACTGGATCTGTATAATTAGGGCGACCTTAACATATATACCGACAGCTATAAGGCTATATATATGATAAAGTCAAATCTAAGATCGTATTGGACCGTCAGAGGGCCTTAAACGAATACTCATCCAGAGATAGGATACTCGGGTATAATCCACAACGAAATGCGATTAAACTTGCTGTAAAGAAACTCTAGAAAGTTAAACTAACATAATCGTTTACTACTTAACATTTCCATAACCTTTTCTGGATTTTTATTATTTTTTCTCTAATGAAATTATTAAATATTAATTGATCATTAGCTTTAAATGTCTGTCTCGTCTGACTTTTTAAAAGAAAGAGAAAGAAAGAATAATGAATGAATTGTATAAATGTTTGGCAGAGATCTTTCACCCCGTTTAACTTTAATGTTCCCATATAGTCAAGTTTACCAGCCAGTCGGTACTTTTAGTAACTTTAAAGTAACTACAAGTGAAACAGTTAAATAATTGCAAAGAGTTTCGCTTGATCTGTGAAAGGGTCGACTAATGATTAGTTAAACGTTTTAAAAAAATTTCGCCTTAAAGTCTGGCGTAACGACGTCGTCGTCTCACTTTTCACAAAAATTTAGTCATCAAAGCCAACTACAAAGAAAAAACTACTGCTGCTATGGATTACTCTGGGAGTTACTAAATTTCGTTGGTTGTTTTTCTTTCTTTCTCGCGGCTGTCTTTTTTTTTCGTATATATTTTTATAATTTCATTTTTAAGGTGTTTTGTAGGAAATTTAAGTGAATGGTCATTTGGTCATTTTTGTGCTGTGAACTTTACTAATGTCGTTCATTTATCTTGTGACTGGGGGGCTTTATGGGGAAGTATGTATATAAAATATATGTGATTCGGTATGTTTAGTTGTTGGCATCATGCTGTTATTCTTACATTGTCATAATTATCTGTGGTTCGTGTGGTTGGTTATCTGTCTGTCTGTCGGTCTGTTAGTTGGTGTGGCCTGCTAGAGTAACAAAACACCTAATCCCATCATTCACTTTTGAGATCTACTTTTTTTGCTGTTGTTGTTGTTTATATTCTTTCTTTAATTTTAACACATTTAGGCTCGTGTGAGTTGATCAGTTTTGATGAAGACTTGTCTTTCTCTCTTGAGTTTTAGTTTTACCGCCTTGGTAGCGTTTAATGTTCGTGTTGAGTGATTAATAGCGTTCACATTTTATGGACATTTGGATGTTTAGATGAATGTCTTGTATACAAACATCACTTAAAAAACACTAAAATCAAAATGTTTTTCTTAAAAAAAAAAACCTTTCAAAAGGTTTGAAACAGCAACTTAAACGTATAAACGATGGACAGACGTTCATTTGAAAGTAAAGCCCTTTAAATACACGGTTTAGTTTTCATAACACTCCATGCGGTGCAGAAGATTAGTGGGATATCATAATCTAAATGGTAGTAGTATTTTCTAAATTGAGTTGTTTTTTTTTCGACCGTTTATCGCTGCCTTTCCCTTAAGGGGGTTTCAACAGTTGATATCTTAGTTTCAAAACTAAAATTTGTCTTACATTGTGCACTAATTTGTCTTAAATAGCCATTAAATGTTTCAGACAACCATATCAAATGTATGTTTGCCAGAGCTTCTTGTAAGACGTGTGAAAATATAATTGTGTTAAGCATTTACCATGTAAAAGTTTGAGAAATAAAATTTCCTGGGAACCTTTTCTACTTTATGTTTGAATATTTATTGTAAAGGTCTGTGTAATTGGAAATTATTGATTTTATATTTCCCAGAAGACATGGCTAAATCAAAGTAGCTAATAATTTTACCTTTCCCCTACTGTTTTTTTAGTTTAAAATAAAATTTGATACTTTTTCTGGTTATTATTCAAGGTTAATTTTTATTTCCAAGTAAATATTAAGTCAATGGTAACATCTCAGTTTACTTGATATTTAGCACACTTTAAAGTTATTTTTTGTTTTTGCGTAGAAACAGGGTGATTGGACAGACTCAAGTTCAAATCCTTTTAAGGTCAGAAACTACCAGTGCCTATTTAGCTTTACTTGGAAATTTTTATGATATTTTTCTGTGTAGAAACTTTATTTTGGGAAATTGTTAGGTTGAAAGGAAGATCGTATGCTTTATAGTCTGCTGTTAAGAAACTCAAATTCCTGAACGTATTGCCTTAAAATGTTCCAACCAATCTTCAGGGATATTTAATCTGGAAAAACATTGCTTTCAAAATATTTAGATCTAATTTCGCAAAAATGATGCAAAGCGTAACTCTGAAAGATTATTCATTTAAGGCCCTCTGGCGATCCAAAACGGCCTTAGATTTAATCTTACTATCAGCTGAGAATTGCCCTAATTGCCTTCTGGCTATCGGTAAATATGTCAACCTTTATTGGCACCATATTTATTCCAATCCACTTTAAACTGGATTCTGAATCCTAGCAGCTAGTGTTGTGATAAAGTAGAGGTTAGATCCGTTTTGTTCCTCTGTTTAGGGACAACCTTGTCGCAACGAATTTCTACGTGTATTTGCTCTAAGATTCCACTCGGCCTTGATATTCTACTGGAAGCAATGTCGAAGAGTTCCCGATAAATTATATATTCCATAGCCCCTTAGATTTAACCCTAATTGCCTTCTCGATGTCGTTAAATATGTCAACATCTGTTGGCACCATATTCATCAATCCAGTTTAAATTATCCGTTATTTCACAGTGTGTTGTGGCTAACTAGATGTTAATATCCTTCCAGCCCCTTCCAAACCCAGCCCGTTTTGTTCCTCAGTTTTGAGCAACGAATTTCCATGGGTATTTGTTCTAAAATTGCGTTCGACCAGCTGAGAACTGCCCTGATTATCTTCTAAATGTCAACCTTTGTTGGCATCAATCTAGTGTAAACATTCCGTTATTTCACGGACTTCTGGCTGGCAGCTAGTGTTGTGATTAAGTAGACATTAGTATCCTTCTGTTTCTGAATATTCAATGTAAAACCCCAGGTCCGTTTTATTCCCCCATTTTGAGCCAACCTTGTAGCAACGAATTTCTAGGGATATTTGCTCAAATATACCACCCGGTCATGATATTCTATCTCGGATTAGAGTTCCGATAAATTATGTATCGTATATGGTCTAAGATTTAAATTTATTATCAGCTGAGAATTGCCCTAATTGATTTCTAGCTGTCGGTATAAATGTCCACCTCTGTTGGCACCAATCCAGTTTAAACATGCCGATATTTCATGGACTTTTCCCTGGCACTCTAGCTGTGATTAAGTAGACATTAGTATCCTTCTGTTTCTGGATATTCTATCTAAAACCCCAGGTCCTTTTTCGCCGTGTTCAGAGTCATCCATGTAGCAACCGATTTCTATGGATGCTTGTTCTAAGGTTCCGTTCAGTCTCCCGTGCTGTTCTATCTGGAAACATTGTCTCAGATTTCCTGAATTATGAATCGGCCCGTTTTCTCCCCCGTTTAGAGCCAACAGTGTTGCAATGAATTTCTACGGGTATTTGCTCTATGCTTGTTCTAGGCCATGATCAGTGGCTCAGAGTTACCGACAACTTATGGGTC